CGGACCCAAATTCGCATGCGTAGATGTCAAAATAAGGCTAATTTAAATACTGCTTGCCCTTATTGCACGTCCAATAACTCTCTAATATACAATGATATAATGTAATAAAAGCAAAATAATAGTAATAAAATTATTTAAAAAGAGAAATTTTTATAGATGGCGTCTTGATTCATCCACGTTTTCAAGCGCCATCTATAAAACGAAGTAGGAACCCTTGTGAAAAAACATTACATTAGCAGTGTTGCCAGATCTCACGATTATTCGTAAGTTTACACGATTTTGGTTAGAATTTCACGATCTCACGAATGAGGTAGCAATTCTCACGAATTCTCTCTGTAGTAATACAAATCAGTAATCAAATATAATGTAATCGGAAATAATCGAAATAAACATCTACCATACAATCTTGACAGATAAACCATTAATTAAGCGTCATTTGTTAACCAATTGGTCTTAACTGACGTTAAATGCATTGCTTATCTGTCAAGATGACCGACCGGTCAATCGCTTAAAATTGGCTAATCAGCAGGCTAACTCGAGCTTTGTATCCCAAAATGGCGGCGTGCGCAGATGAGATGGGCGTTAAATCTCATTGTTCTGCCATTTAAAGATAGGCTGTATCCTCGAATGGCGGCGTGCGTAGAAGAGATGCGCGTGAGATTTAACCTGCTGCTTGTTTTTCTAATGGGACTGCTTATAGAGCTGAAAGTGTCTGCGATGTCCATGAGAATCCACTATTTGTGACGTCAGCTGCAGACCTCAACTCTTGGAAGAAAATGCATTGCGAGTCCAAAAAACGAATTCATAAACGTTGAAATCGCCTTTTCTTAATTTAAAATTCCCAAAAAAATTAACCCACAAGCACAGCCTGAATCGCAAGCAATCCATCGAGGCCTGCGGGAGACGTTACCAATATCAGTTGCTGATAGTGGTGACGTCACTCGCAGACCTGCTGCCGACTCGAGAATTGGCAAACGTACGCCTTTTTAGGATAAGTAATCCTGCGGATAATGAAAACGAGGTTCACCTCTCAGAAACACCTGCTAAAAAACGGAAAAAACAAGGATACAAGGTTTACTTAATATTAAAATTTCTATTTCTTATGGATCACGCTACTTTATCAAAAATCTATAGAAGAACATTTATGCATTATTTTCTTACAAGCAATTTTAAGTCTCACGATTTCTCACGATTTTTCATTCTCGATTCTCACGAATTTTTTTAATTTAATCTGGCAACACTGTACATTAGTTTAACAGCAAATACCATAACATTGTCATAGAAAAAGTAAGTATAGCGTTTATTTATAGGGTATAAATAATGATGTTTTCTGTTGTGTTGTCGTGATGCGTTTATTTTGTTATCTAATAAAGGAGAATATTTTTTTTGGTCGAGTTTTGGTTGAATTCTTAACAAAATTTGGGCGTGGCTCCAAAAAATTTGTTGCACTTTTGCTCAAGGGGGTCTATAGGAGGGGGACACATTGGGCACTTGCCCCCTCCTTATGCTTTTGGGCGTGGCACCCGAAAAAAAGCCTTCCAGCTTTCCCTCTGGATAACATCGGTCCCGCTTTTTCATTTCATAAATCTGGCAACCCTGCTCTGGAACGGGCGCACTGCTTTATGCTAGTGTGCCAAATTTTGATGTATGCAACCCAGCAATACGGAGGGAATGTTGTCTCGCTCGGACTCATTGCGATTAACGTAAAAGAAAGAAGAGCTTCTTCATCTTCCTAACCCCAATGATCGAAACAGTTCAAACAGCTGTTCTCAATAGCCGCCATTGTGCAGAGAGAGATGCAAATCCCTCTTGTTTGTTGTCCTTCCTGGCACAAACCCTCGCGTAGAAACAATTATGCAGCCGCCTTTCCAGTGTGTTTATTTAGTTCATTGGTATCTTCTGACCTAACTGACATTCCTAAAATAAGTACTCTGGGCACAAGAACACTTAAACCTAATAGTTGTATTCCTTTCAAGAGTTTTGAACACTCGAGCTACTCGCTCCGGTGTAGTCGCCCCCGATTTGGAAGTAACAGATGCGTGGTGGAACAAACACTTTTCGAAAAGAATAAGCGCGTAACGACCCGGAGCTGTTCCGGAGCGCCTCCTAGGTGTGAAAGGAATTCAACAATTTGGACTGCTTATGGAGCTGAAAGTGTCTGCCATTTCATCCGCATACCTCAACTCTTGGCGTAAAATGCATTATCTTAGTTTAAAACACTATAGTCAAAAAATCGAATTGCCAAACTTTAAAATCTTGTTAAAATCACCTTTTCTACATTTAAAATCGACGAAAAAATTAACTCGTGAGCACAGCCTGAATCGTAAGCATTCCATCGAGGCCTGCGGGTGACGTCACCACTATGAGCTGGGGTTGGCGATGACGTCACTCGTAGACCTTGCCAACTCGAGAATGGGCGAACGTACGTCTGTCGGAAACAATCGCTCAGCAAAGGTACTGATTTATGAAATGACGGCATTTGAAAACATAAATGGGCGATGCTTTCTGACAGTTTGCAAACGGCCACGATTATTGAATTTGACAACAACGAAGCACCGCGAACCGCGAGCGCGAAATTTTTGGATGCCAGGCTATTTTTTGGGTCTTTTTAAGGTATTTTTGGGACTGTTTATTTTATTTTTGACGAATTATTTATAAAATTTAAAGGTCTTGGGTGGGGCAAACGCGCCCCTCTGCTCCCCCTGGCTACGCCAGTGCAACGGAGCAAACATCTCGGAATGATTCTGACATTTCTATCTTCTGACCTTACTGAGAATACTGAGATTCCTAAAATAAGTAGGTACCAGGGCTGGGATCACGACAAGTAGAATTCTACTTTCATGACGTCACCTGCGACCTATTTTGTTGCGTAGTATAGGAAATGATGACGGTTTCTAGGCAACCTGACGTCATGAAAGTAGAATTCTAGTAGAATTCTATTTGTCGTCATCCCAGCCCAGGGCACAAGAACACTTAGGGCGGCGTTCCATTTCTTAACCAGAGTTACCGATCCGTATGTCTATGGTATGGAGCGGTTCGTCTATGGTGACAGTCTGGTTCCAGCCCCCGGATTCTATTTTACGAGTCGAGTCGAATTGTCTCGATATCGAATACGACAGCTCCGGACGTACCGTTTAAAGCCTTGTACTCATAACTGCGAAATTCGCACTTTTTTGACATTGCTTCGAGAATTTGACGTTTTATGCGTGAATCAAACGTCAAATTGTCGAAGCAAATGTCAAAAAAATGCGAATTGCGCAGTTATGAGTACTAGGCATAAAGCCTAGTACTCATAACTGCGAAATTCGCATTTTTTTGACATTGCTTCACCAATTTGACGTTTGATACACGCATAAAACATCAAAATGTCAACGTAATGTCAAAAAAATGCGAATTTCGCAGTTATGAGTACTAGGCTTAATACATATGGAAAAATCGAAAAATAGAATCGCTATTTTGACAATTCGATACGAATTTCGACTCGACTCGTAAAATAGAATCCGGCCTCTGAAAATGCGGTTTATGTGTGGAACGCTTCGGTTCAGCTTTGGTTGGTCTCTTATTGGATGCTAGATGATAGGAAATAATAATCTTAAAAACATATTTGTAATAAGAAATCGACATGAATGTATGTAATATTCACCTTTTGTTCCATTTTCACCGCAAATACACTTCGAAGGCGGAAGAAAAATAAAAAAATTGAAAAATTATCACCTAACCTAACAAACAAATGTCAAAAATTGCAAACAAATCCAAACAACCAAAGCTTTTTGATCGGTAGATTCGGTTGACAGTTGGGACCGAATTTTTCAGGAACCGCGTTTCATAACTTAACCAGATTTCAGGAGTGGTTAGGTTACGGAACGAGAACCGGAAAAACCAAGAATCTTGGTTAACTATTACGTAACGTCGCCTTTTAACCTAATAGTTGTATTCCTTTCAAGAGTTTAGAGCACTCGAGCTACTCGCTCCAGTATAAAGCCTAGTACTCATAACTGCGAAATTCGCATTTTTTTGACATTGCGTTGACAATTTGACGTTTAATGCGTGTATCAAACGTCAAATTGTCAACGCAATGTCAAAAAAATACGAATTTCGCAGTTATGAGTACTAGGCTTTAGTCGTCCCCAATTTGAAAGGAACAGATGCGTGGTGGAACACACACTTTCCGAAATAAATAAGCGCGTAACGCCCCGGAGTTGTTCCGGAGCTCCTCCTTGGTGTGAAAGGAATATAACTATTAGGACTGCTTATTGAGCTGAAAGTGTCTGCCATTTCAGCCGTAGATCTCATCTCTTGGCATAAAATGCATTATCTTAGTTTAAAACACTATCGTCAAAAAAACGAATTCCTTTAACGTTAAAATCTTGTTAAAATCACCATTTCAGTTTTCTACATTTAGAATCGACGAAAAAATTAACTCATAAACACAGCCTAAGGGCGGGTATTATAAAACTGCTTTGACAGTTAACTTGAAGTTAACTTTTTGAATTACATGTAATTTCAGAAGTTAACTTCAAGTTAACTCTCAAAGTAGTTTTATAATACCCGCTCTAAGGAGGGGTATTATAAAACTACTTTGAGAGTTAACTTAAAGTTAACTTCTGGAATTACATTTGGGCGGGACCCGCCCTTAATTCAAAAAGTTTATATTATAAAACTGCTTTGACAGTTAACTTGAAATTAAGTTTTTGAATTACATGTAATTCCAGAAGTTAACTCTCAAAGAAGTTTTATAATTCCCGCCCTAAATCGCAAGCATTCCATCGAGGCCTGCGGGTGACGTCACCACTATAAGATGGGGATGGTGATGGCGTTACTCGCAGACCCTGCCGACTCGAGAATGTTACTAACTAAGATTTTATATCTCTTTGACGTAAACACAAAGTTACCAATTTATGAAATGACGGCATTTGAAAACGAATGGGCGATGCTTTCTGACAGTTTGCAAACTACCAGATACTCTTGTGAGACCGACAAGCTGTGCCTAGACTGCTAGACCTCATACGGATCGGAGAACGGAAACAACTTTCATTAAAAAAGAAGAGTGAAAAAAGAAAAAGAAAAAACCAATAAAAAGTGACATAATAGTACTCTAACCTCACTTCACTTCTTTCTGGATCTCCCAATCTAAAAAGAATTTTGTTTAAAAAAGTAATAAAAAAGTCAAAAAATGACTAATTTTGCATCTATAAATCGTCTTATTTCGCATAGAATTCGCCCAGTATTCCAGAGAAGACTAGTGTCCACATCAAAGAAAAATAATGATACTGTGGCTGCTGAGGCTTGCCAAAGCCAAACCAATACAAAAGTAGTAGTGAAAAGTTGGGTCTCCTATGGATACGATCATAAAAATAAAACTGATGATAGGTCTGTTATGCACGTGTTGATGTTTGGGGCTTTAACACTCTGTGGAGTTGTTGGAGGTAAGTTCTTTTTTGCTTCCTAAATGAAAAGGGGATATGGTTCAAGTACCTCCTTTCTCTTACAGGGTTTGTATGGACTTATGCTCCAGACTATCATCTTAGAGATTGGGGTGTAAGAGAAGCCTTTTTAGAGCTCAGAAGGCGAGAAGCGGAGGGCAAACTACCTATAGATCCAAATTTCATACCTGTTGAAAAAATAATTTTGCCTTCTGATGAGGAATTGGGTGACACTGAAATTATTATTTAGATCACTTAAATTCTTATGTTAGCTTGTAAATAATAATTATTAATAAAATAATTTATAACATTAGGTTGTGACTGTTTATTGTTGATAAGGATCACAGAGACAATATTATTCATCTTCATTTTCAAAATCGGCATGTCCTTGACCCAATCTATTAAGAACACTGGCATTAATATTCAAAACTGATCCAGCTCCAGCTAAAATTGTCCTTGAAATGCTTCTGTCATCATCAGTTGATCTTGAAGAAGAGGAAGATGATATAATTGGTTTGGCAGCTTTTCTTGTCACCGTAATGTTGCAGGCAAATTTCAATTCACTTTTCAAAGTTTCAAAATAGGTCATCTAAAAGAAAAATAATCTGATCTAACTTCCCATCCAATAATCATATTCTTGTGTAGGCAGAGTACTTATCAAATAGTACTTATTTACATTTAGATATACCTAAAACACAGTAAAATTTGATGATAGGTAATTCATCTGAGCTGAGCTAACTCATATTAGGTCTAGGGAATTTGATGATTTCTAAAAGGCACTTCTCAAATTTTGAAAGACTCACAGACTAAAAAATATGAACAAAAATGAGAGATTATGCAATATTTTTTAAATAAATTCATGGAACACTGCCAACACCTTGGTGTTTGTTGTTTTCCATACAGCTTTTCCTGTAGGTTATAATGAATAATTTGGGGTAGTTTTTCTTGAGTTATTTAAAAAAAACCTAATAAAATTTTTTTGATGTGATGTGCACCTTTTTAAAGTCAATAGAGCATGGTAAAAAATATCGTTAGATTAATTTGAAGACATCCATGTCTATGTCCCTATCTCTCTATAAAAGGTTGGAAACTGTAATATCTAAAAGTATTTTTTTACTACCTGTAACCTATGCATGCAAACTTCTTATAGATCCAATGTTCATACAAATTTAACTGTTAATCTTACTATATTTCTTAGGCCCGGTTTATTCATCTTCAGATAAACTTGCTGGTAACTATCTGCAAGATAAATTTACCGATCTATAATCCTATTGGTAGCGGGTAACGGGCCAACCAATGGGAATACAGATTGCGTTTTTATCCAAATAAACATGCCCTTGGTGAACAGTACCTACCTCTATCTGTATAGTACATGAGATAATATTTTTAAAAAAAGTAACCAACTTCAAACCATTGCACCAAACATAGTTTCATTCAATTCTAAAAAACTTTCACATTCATTTCTGAAGTACCTAGGAACCTCCAAATTTTAGTAGGTAGAAGCTTTTCAGGAATAGCCGAGAGAATAGCAATACCTACCTGTTTAGTCTCTAGGGGGGTTTATTTGAAATCCATGCAAATCTTTCACATGTGACTAAGTCGGTCGAAAGATATGCATCGACAAATTTTTAAAATTCAAGATCAGCTTATTTGAAATCTTGGGCATTTTGTAAATCGTGAATTTTTAAATTTGCTACTTGGTAACGTGTCCTGTAAAAGATTCTAACCAATGACAGTTAGAAAATTTCACATGACCGACCTGAACGACGCATTAAAATAATTGGAAATTGTTTAACGAAACAACTTTTTTGATTGTTTCCGTGCATAATGTTTCGTATTTAGTTGGAGTTTTTTCCTTTTTTCTTTTTGATATTATCTTAGTTTATTCTTTCCATGAGTGTAAGGCAATACCGCAAAAAGGATGGAAAGTGCAGAAGCAAGTGCCAATAAGAGAAGGTCCGGATTTGTTACCAAAAAGCAGAAAGAACTCTTGGTCGAATTTTTGAACAAAAATCCGGCTCTTTTGTCGTGAAAATGTTCGAACTCCTTTTTATGGAAGGAATATTGAAACACTTTTTTGAAAGTCGAAAGTTTTTTTCATAAATTCCCCGTCATTATGTAAACATTGTTAATACATGCATCTATTCTTGGCTTTCTGACGCCTTTGCGGTTAGGGTTATAAAATTCGGCCCTTTCTAGAGCATTTAAACTAACAATAATCTCGAATTCCATGAGGCCAAGAATTTTCTTTGTCAACCAAACTGGAACTTTTAAGAAAGTTTCGCTGGCAATTACGAAATGCACGAGCTCTAGAGGTGACACATGTCAAATGCATCTTGCGTTGACGAAAGTTCCAAATAAGCCACATGTGAATTTTTATGACATTTCTCCATGTAAAAATGTCATTTTAAGAAATACTTATCGCTAAGGCTTCCTCAAAATGGTCAGTGCAAACGGCCATTAGTGAGACGAATTTGAATTGCACATTTCAAATACACCCCCCCCCCCCCTGACACAATTTGCGCCAACCCTAAAACAGGTGAGAATGTTCTCTTTTTTCCAAATTTGATGAAAATAATTATTTTTAGTGCATTATTTTTAAGTTGAAAGAAGTTATTTTTGAGATCCTTGTAAGTAGGTAAATGGCATTTCTTTCTGGGACTTCATGAAGTAGTTGCAGTAGTCAGAGATTTTTTGCGATGTTTCTTACATGTTCTTCAGCAGAAATATGTCGGATGTTCCATAAAAATTCCGTTATAGCTAACAAAAATGCCAATCCAATGCCTGCTGCCAAAAGTATAAAAGCTCCACCAACATTGGCTAACGTCAGTTCATCCTTGTTATTTTCCAGGCTATCCTATGGAAATTTCATATTTATTTTAAAGTAAATGTAAATCTAGTGCATGTGTGTATATGTAGTAAGGCAAAGTGGGGTAAATGTGTGAAAGGGGCGACTGTGTTATAGTCCTGCCAAAAATTTAAAAAATGACAATCAACCAATGCCATCCATGTCAATGTCTGAGCACCATAACTGTTCATACTCCCACCATTTGAAATTTTATGTGCGGATCATCCTTCGTCAGTCATTGAATAATAGCTTTCATTGGGTGCAAGTTTATAATAATCTTGTGAGTTGCATGGTTTTTCTATTTATGTGTGTGAAATTTTCATTTAAAGTGGTAAGGGCCATTTCCACCAACTATTTTAGGGAAGCCCTAACGATAGGTATGCCTTAAACTGACATTTCTCCATGTAAAAATGTCATTTTAGGGAACAGTTATCGTTAGGGCTCCCCTAAAATAGTTGGTGGAAACGGCCGTATATAAGATATTATTACTTGAAAGGGAGTCGATCAACGCTTGTTTTCAACTAGTGTGTTAATTTTACTAACATTTCAAGATTTTTTCAACTTTTGATACTATCTCAGAAATTTTTGCATTTGGGGTAAATGTGTTGTACAGTGCCGGGGAAATAGTGTTATAGTGTATCACATTTGCCCCTTTATAGTTTCAGTATTGCTATGGTCGGCAACTACAAAAGAAAGATCACCGATAATAAAAAATATACGAAGGACAATCTAGTATTAGCTATTGATGAAGCCAAAAGAACAACAATTTACAGAGCTTCTAAAATAAATCGAATTCCTTACGTTACATTACATTCCCGAATCAATTATACGTGGAGCAAAGCAAGGCAAGAAGTTATTAGGACCATCAAGTATTTGCCAGCAGCGTGTCATTTGAAGATCTTTTTGTTATCTGCAGTCAAAAAAACTCCAAAGACACCGACACAGAAAAAACTAGAATATGTCCTGAAGCTTGACTTCCCAGTTCGCTTTGGGGCTACAATTTATAGTTTTATACCTTTTGACAAGTACTGTCACCTCGACTCTCACACTTTGTAATGTTTTGTTATGTTTTAAAAAGCTGCTTTTTTTTGCTTCTAAATTTAAAAAGTTTATAACTTCTTTAATATTTGAGATATTTTGATCAATGAAAAATCGTAATGCGTCAAATTTTCTATATTTTATACATTTGCCCCAATAATTATTATATGTACATGCATTGAATTCAAACATACAGCCCATTATCACATTTGCTCCGAACTCTGGAGTAAATGTGATATAATGGGCTTGTTTTAAAGAAATACACACTACAAAAAAAGTATTTTGATATCTATTCTGAAAATACATTATCAGACAATAAACATGTTAGAAATGTATTGTAATTCAATGGTTATACTTTTCATTTGGCAGCGCTATAAATTCAACCTTATAAAAAAACTATATCACAATTACCCCACTTCACCTTAAATGTAAAAGTGAACTTATCATAAAAACCTACATTAGGGCATGGAGGACCTTCTAAATCCTCTTGTTTCCACCATTTTTCTTTCAATTCATTTATTTTCCCATTTTCTTTCAACTGCAACACTGCTGTATTAATTTGATGTCTGTATACAGCCCCTAAAGGCATTCCTATACCATAACTTTTCGAATCCAAATATTGACCAATTTTTTTCAAATCACAATTTCTCTCCAATTCATATTCAATCTGCGGTGATTCCATAAAAAATGCATATAGGCCTTGTTTAGTATTCAAAACTCTTTCCACCCCTTTTGCATTGCTGTCTTCAAAAACGCTCGGATTTTCATTGGACATTGTAGCCCACATTTTTTGATACAGGCTGTTGTTGGACGTTTCAAAGAACGATTGAGTTGACCCTCCAGCCATAACACCATATTTAACTTTATTCTGATTGGCTAAATCTTCTACTCCTTTAATTGAATCATCCTGTCTGGACATTGTTAAAAAAGCTGCCATGTTTGCTGTGTACGTACTGGTCATTATTAGAGAGAAAAACCACCACATGGCTGTTGCGATTCTGGAACAGCTACCTCTAAAATTAAACTATATTAAGTTAATAAAACCTCGAAAATCGTTCAATTAATAAAATTTTAAAAATTAAAACGGAACTACAGAACAAACTTTGTGGAGTCTCTCTAGACTACTTATTTAGGTTGGTGGTTAATTGATGGACTTTAAGTGTGATACTTTCTGAAATATTTTGAAAATACTACATTTTGCGCTACACAATATGTTACTTTCAAAATACTGTTAAACTATGGACTTGTTCCCAATTTTTATAAAAACAATGTTTTGCCTCTTGCGTAGATAGATGTAGGTTTTCTAAATGAGTTAAACAATGTGAGTTTGTTAAAATATTATTGGATTTGGATTAAATTCAGATTCTTTTCATACCAAAATACTGGCTTCATACTGGGACTGCGCCAAAAAACTGCTCATAACGCACATATTTCGGATCGTTGAGGGTTTTGCAAATTTTAAACCAAGGTTTTTAAGTGTGTTATTTTCAGATAATCTTAAATTTATGGCATGATTTCCTTATTTAAACAATAGCCTTATTTGAAAAAATTCTATGTCATGCGGAGGATCTCGGATGAGTACACATGTTATGGCTATTATTAACATAAAAACCTTTTTTTTTATTGATCCGCTTAAAAAAGACAAAGTCTATAGTAACTAAACGGTGCCATGAGTGAAAGAAATTAGGTGACGATCAACCCTCCGTTTGAACACGATAATGGATGGGACGCCTGTGAGGTTCTTGTGGTTCTTAAATAACTTCTCCTAGCTGGCACGAGGCTGGCCAGATCGTGAGAACATCTCCCATGATAAGTAATAGCTATAGAATAAGGATAAGTCGGCCAGCTTGCGTTTATGTTCAAGAGATTGCAATGAATCAGTGAGAGATAATTTTTATTGTTCTTCTTCTTATAGAGCCAACGAATAATTGGGATTGGGAGAATCGCTTCAGATGTGGGAACAGTATTTTCTACAAGGTCTGATTTGAGCCTTATAAAGGAAAAGAAGTTGTTCAGAAGTAAAGAAGTTTTTTGCACGAAACAAAAAAACTATTTTTTGAGAAGCGAGAAGCGGTTGTGGCGCTCGAAGATACGCATGGTCATCCCAAGACAAGTTGGTCGATGCGGTCACCCCAAGAAGAGATACCGAGGGATTGATAGAAAGGTTTTGTCCCGAAATCCTTAAAACTGGGTTATCATCGGCGGAACATTTCTTATTTGAGAATACTGTTGCTCGAGTTTTGGAAGCATTGAATTTGACTGTCAAGATCACTGTTGATACAGTGAATCTGTTGTCGGGTGAGGCGTGTGGAACTGGCTGCTGTGAGCGGTTTGTCAGAAGAGAAAGATGCCATGAAGCTACTATCGTCCGCAAAGCTGTATGTGGGGTTTCTTGTCACATTCAATAAATCATTGATAAAAATGAGAAACAGTGTTGGGGACATATCTGAGCCTTGAGGAACGACAGCATTTATAGGCAGTACCTATATCACAAGACTCCTTAGCCAATGGCAAAATTAGTTTAGAAGACCATATGATGGAGTTTGCTGAGAAAACCTCTGTGCCTCACCTGATCAAAACCCTTGCGGATGTCCAATGCTACAATTCTGGATTCGTCATGTTTTTCGAAAGTCGCGTTCCAAATATGATTGACGTACGCCAGCAGATCCCCTGGGTCCTTACAGAGCTGGGCAAGCTACTTGGAAAAAGTAGCTAGCTACAAGCTACCTTATATTATAAGTAGCTAAGTTACTCAGTAGCTCAACTACTTCTTTGAAAAAGTAGCTAAGCTATTAGTAACTTAACTACATTTTGAATTACTGAAAGCTACTATTTAAGCTACTTTTATCAATGTACATGCCCTACCTAATTTAATTTCATAATATCATCATACGAAAATAACATATTAACTTTCTCTAAGGGCGGGTATTATAAAACTACTTTGAGAGTTAACTTAAAGTTAACTCCTGGAATTACATGTAATTCAAAAAGTTAACTTCAAGTTAACTGTCAAAGCAGTTTTATAATACCCACCCTAAGTAGTATTCATATTTTTGTCAAAAACCACTGGACATTAATTTATTAGGTTCACTTTGATCACAGTGATCTGCGAATGCGAGAATCAAATAGGACACATAAAACATAGGTACCTACAGAGATAACTAGAAACTAGTCTAAGCAAGCAGGCAGGATAAGAATTTTCTAGAAAATAATAATTGTAGCTTGAGCAATTAAAGTATAAAGTTACTTTTATCGAGCGGTAAATTCAAACGCGGGCGATAGGTTGGTCGAAACGTGCCTTTATAAGGGGAAAACTGTTTATTTTTGAAAACATGTCGAATGGATGCCATTATATTATAGGTATAGTTATTTTATTTTTGAACTAGAAGCGTCCGCTGCGCATAAAACGTAATAAGTATTTTGGGCGTTGAGTATCGTTAACCACACGCTCGGGCGATAAATGACACTTTCCGCCATTAATACCTAAATAACTATTAACTATCTACCAAAAGTAGCTTCAGTAGCTTGTTTAGTAGCTAGCTACTTTTCACAATAGCTTATGAATACTTGAAACACATTACCAAAAGCTACAGCTACAAAGCTACTTTTTTTTCAAAGTAGCTTGAATAAGTTACTAGCTACCAAAAAAGTAGCTAAGCTAGTAGCTTAACTACTTGGTAGCTAGCTACTGCCCAGCTCTGGGTCCTTATTCTTGCAACAGGGGAGCAGCATTCCCAGGAGAACGAGTGTTCCGTCTTTCTCAATGATATGCAAATGAAATGATAATATAAGTAACAAAGACGTAACACTCGTTCTCCTGGGAACGCTGCTCCCCTGTTTCAAGAATAAGGCCCCTGTAGATATTTCAGAACCAAACCCGTACTGTTTGTCAGAGATGATCTTTATTGGTATCCAGTTGCAGGTTGACTGGTTTTTCCATCACTTTCGAAAGTGCCACAGTGAAAAAGCAGTTATTTAAAGTGTGAAAAATCACAGAAAAGCGCAACCGTGATATTTGGAAAAATAAGAACGTCAAATAAGAAAAAAATATTCCGGAAAAAAAATAGTTTTTGAAAAAAGAATCACTCTGTATTTTTTTTTGTAAAATGGAATGCTTTCTACAGACTTTATCTTCAGATCTAACTTCCAGTTTAGCCGAAAGTGCTTATGCTTTGAACATTGTTTTAAATTGATTTCACTACTGGCTAAACCGAACGTGGAATCCGAAAATAAAGTATGTAGAAATCATCCCATTAATTTGTTAGTATTAAAATTTACGAAAAAATGCAGGGTGATTCTTTTTTCAAAAAGTTTTTTATCGAATATTTTTTTAATTTGATGATGAATTTTAATTTTTTTCTGATTTCATATTCGAATAGCTGAGAATATTCCAATAATAAATAAATAAAATAATTTTGATTGTAATCTCAAGACTACGCGAGACTCTCGCCGAGTTGGTCTCGTCTCGTCGAGACTTCACGAGACGAGACCAAGAGCCAGTCTCGTCTCGAAAAGTCGAGAATACCTGTGTGCTCTTTTACGAACTGGGTTACGCCGAGGCCGTGTGAAATAGCGAATGCTTCTCGGAGTTCGGATGGGTCTCCTGGATACAATCAAATGAATTCACCAGATTTTCAATTAGAAGTTCACAACTGGAGTCGTTGGGTGAAAGATACAAGCAGCAAGCAAACTTAGGTAACCATGTTTACTTGCGTCTCCGTTAAGGCCAGCATATGTGGATTTTTGTACTCAAGATGTTGGTGCACTGAGTTTAAGTTACCTACCTCTGATGTTAGAAAATTCAGCTCTCAAACTTGCGTCGTACACCCTCTACCGGGCTTGGTACATAAATTGTATCCAAGTCAGGCTAACGAAAAGAAATTATAAGGTAGGGTTTCCATAAAGGTTCTTCGGAATTCAGGACAAAGGAGTCAAGAAATCCGGACAAAATCCGGACTTCGCCGAAAAATTATTTAAAATGTTTATGAAGGATGAAAATATGTCTTTTTTGCCTTTATGAGCAACACTCAAATCAAATTTGTATTGCATACGATACATAAGACAACGGAATTGTCTTGTCCTTTTTTTATGGAAGGGAAAGCTTTTCTTCCGTTACTACGCACTTCCGTTTTGGTATTATTAAAATATACTCAAGTTTATCATTAATATTTAATACCTATTATAAAGCCGCGTACGGACTTTGCGAGGCTGCCTCGCGAGGCTGCCGCAGTGCGAGCGGCCTCGCACTGCTTTTGAAGTGGTAGTAGAAGCTAAACACGAGGCAACGCGAGCCGTCATTCATTGACTCGCTCTGAGGCAACAACGATGTCGCTCATAATCAGCAAACACGTACAAACTTGGGAAATGCCGCGCTACGAGGCTTCTTTGAGCACGACCAAAAAACCGACTAAGCATGGCTCACCGCGAGGCTGCCTCTCAACGCGGCAGACAGTGAGTCGAGGCAGGTACTAATTTTGCGAAGCACGCCTCGGGAGGCAGCCTCGCGAGGCTGCCTCGCAAAGTGCGTACGTAGCTTAACGTTGCGTTGCGTTGCGTGCATCAGCGCAGGGCCCATATCAATCATAGTTTAAACGGACTTTGGAATCCTGGGATTCACCGATACCGATAGTACTTATCGCGCGAATTCCTGATTAAAATCAACCATGCATGAGTCAATATATTTCCATCTCACTCTATTCTATGTTATATTCAGTATAGCAAAGAAAGACGATTCCTCGAACTCTAACGAAAATTTGACGTCGGAGTGACACCCGAATATATAAATGAGGTACGTTCGAAAATCTTCTGTCGGTATTGGTAGAGATTTGTATCGTAACGATTAAAATATTTATTAACAAAGTTAGGTTGTTTTCACGATCTCCGAGTTTTCCGGACATTGTTCCGAATTCCGGCCGGACTTCCCCGGACACCCTAAAAACCCAAACATGTCTGGGTAAATCCGGACGTATGGAAACCCTATTATAAGGGGAATCCAATCAATATCAGAAATCAA